GTTATCTGGGCACAGAAATGCAGTCTTAGCCCACACCAACATGAAAACTCTTAGTTACACAACACTCACATTAGAGGCGGAGATTTCCAGATGAACGCTTTTATATTTTATCTATTATTCAACATAAAGCCACCAGCTGTGGACATCGAGGAACCTTCTAGAATTTTCTCAGAATGTGCATTCGATTTGAAGAAACAAAACTACTAGACATGTTTATCTTTTCATTTTGTGTTTAATAAAGAAAATGACAGATTGACAGACAGAGCAATATGAATTTCTCTGGGAATCCCAGCGGGCGTTTGCATTTTAATAGAAAACAAGTGCATGTGTTTTATTTGTCTTTCTCCTTCTGTTCTTTCTCTTTCTTGTCTTTCTCTGCTTTGGCCTCTTCTGCTTCATGTTTCTTGATGAGTTCTTCCACTTCCTTCTGCTTAAGAACTTTGATTCTGGTCTTGCCGTTCTCTCGTGTCAGTGTGGCGATCTCCACTTTGAAAATGGACAGAAAAAGGGAACAATTAGTTGTTTGTCCATAAAATTGAAATACACAACACTCACATTAGAGGCGGAGATTTCCAGATGAACGCTTTTATATTTTATCTATTATTCAACATAAAACCACCAGCTGTGGACATTGAGGAACCTTCTAGAATTTTCTCAGAATGTGCATTCGATTTGAAGAAACAAAACTACTAGACATGTTTATCTTTTCATTTTGTGTTTAATAAAGAAAATGACAGATTGACAGACAGAGCAATATGAATTTCTCTGGGAATCCCAGCGGGCGTTTGCATTTTAATAGAAAACAAGTGCATGTGTTTTATTTGTCTTTCTCCTTCTGTTCTTTCTCTTTCTTGTCTTTCTCTGCTTTGGCCTCTTCTGCTTCATGTTTCTTGATGAGTTCTTCCACTTCCTTCTGCTTGAGGACTTTGATTCTGGTCTTGCCGTTCTCTCGTGTCAGTGTGGCAATCTCCACTTTGAAAATGGACAGAAAAAGGAAACAATTAGTTGTTTGTCCATAAAATTGAAAATTTTAAACACTGTTCATGTTGAATCTACTGAAACAACATCATCTTTGACATGCAACATCTTTCTGTATTTAGGAGTTTCGAAGTAAAGAAAATAAAAAAGATGATTTTAAGTTAAATTAAATATAATTAAATATATATATAAAATAATACTGTGTATATATATATAACAAAGTCACAAATGCACCAAAAATTCCTAAAATTGTGAAAACTAAATATAAAATTAAAAGCTATGAGAAATAATATATAAAAAAATATATATATAAAAAACTGTGTATGTGTGTGTGTGTGTGTGTGTGTATATATATATATATATATATATATATATATATAACACAAAGTCACAAATGCACCAAAAATTCCTAAAACTGTTAACAGAGTTGTGATTTCATGTCACAAGTGTGATTTATTTTGTTGCAATTGCCAAACAAATGTTGCGATCGAGACAATACAGCATACAATTTACAGAATGTCTATTTGTTTAAAAGGGTTTGTTGCTGCATGACCATTTTGACTGCAGTGTGTTTGTTACCGCAATTCAGCACGTGATCAGCTGCATTAAGCTGAGAGCTCAGATGGATTGTGGGTCTGTACATGCGGTCATTATCATTCATAATGCAGAAGTCTGCTCTCTGCTAGACTGCCTTAATCTACCAGCCTTGTCTGCATGCTAAAACATTTATTCCATCTCCGACTTGCCAAACACACACACCTTTCTCTGCTGAGAGCTTGCTGACATCCATGGTTTTGTTCAGCACTTTGACGGCGAGAGCGAGGGCAGACGACAGAGTCATCTCTCCCTCTTTATAGTCCTGCTTCAGCATTGACACAGCAGCCTGAAACACACAAACACACACTTTACGTTTCTGAACTGAGGTGTTTTGATATCTTTTTTGGTCAGAGTTCAGAACAGAAATCATGAATTAAGGACAGGTGCCTTGTCGCCATCTACTGGCCAAATCATGATATTACAGTGCACTAGTAGATGGACATTGCCCCGTTCACACCAAGCACGATAACTATAAAGATAACGATAAAGATATAGTTCTAAAAATCGTTCTCAATATTAAAGAATAGTCCCCACCACAACTATAACGATAAAGGCACAGAGAAACGATATCGTTGGAATCACTTTCAGAACGATTTTTCCAGCTGATGAACGATAAAAATATTG